TCCCATCCCATCCCATCCCATCCCATCCCATCCCATCCCATCCCAATTCCACGTCCTGCCCGGTCCCCTCCGAGCCACCACGGGAATCTGCAGGAATTTGCTCCCACTCCTCAAAAAAATCAAAGCTCAGCTCCTTCATCCCTGCTGAAAATCCTCCTTTGGAATAACAATTCCGGGATGGAACTGAGGAGTTTGGGGGAGTCCCTTCTGTTCCTGGGAGCGCTGGGAGAGCCGGGCTCTGTCCCCAACCTGTGCTGCTCCCTCGGGACCTTCCCCGGGCAGCAGGAAAACCAGGAAAACCCCCAACCAACAACCCACCGAGGAACAAACAGCAGGGAGGGTTGTGGGGATGGGAACTGCTCTGACGCCTCTCCGGGAGGATCCATTCCCTACGGAAATGGGGCTCTTCCCAACACCCAGTTTACAAACACGGGGTCATTCCCCAAGGGTTTCATCAGCTCTTCCAGCACAACTGGGATCCTGCCTCCTTGAACCCACCAGAGAATCGAATCCCCCCTCTCCAGGATTCCCTGCAGGACACGGAAAGCCATCCTGGATCCGTCCTTTCCCGGCACAGCCCCTTGCAGGTGCTTTGAGTGACAAACTAAGCAGAAATGTCTAAAAAATAATTCCTTTTGAGGGCACAAGAAGGAGGTTCCTGCACCTCCTCGTGCTGCAGGTTGGTCAGGGAAGGATGATCCGTGTTTAATTCCCTTGAACAAGAGGGGGAAGTCGGAAACGTGTCCCCCTGAACAGCTTCCCCTCGTGCTGTCTGTGGGTCTGAGCAGCTGCTGCAGCACAGGAATAATCCAATCATCAGGAATCCCCATAAAATCGAGGAGTTACCCCGGTGGGGGGTGTTGTCCTTCCGTCTGCGGTCGGAGCAGGAGATTCCCGGGAATATTCTGTGTCCCGTCGTTTCCCCCACTGCCCGACGGACAAGGCTCCAAAGGGAGGTTTTTAAATGAAGGGGGGAATAAATAACGATTTTAGGTTGGTTTGGGAGTTCATTTCCAGGCCGAGCTTTTATTGCAAGGAAGGGCTTAATCCTGGAGCTTTTGTCTCGTTGGGGCTGACGTCCCACACCCACGGCAGCTGGAAGCAGCTGGATTAACAAACCACAGGGCTGTGTCCAAAAGGCGTTTTTGGAAGGATTATTGCCCAGCTTTGGGGTTTTCCTCACCAGCTGACAGAGGATGTCACGACCTGGAGGCAGGAGGTGGATTCCCCCTCACGCAAAGCGGGGATTCCAGTCCCACAGACAGAGATTTCCAGCGGAGAGAGGGGGAAATCAGGATAGTTAGGGAAGGAATTCCTCCCCGGCAGGGCGGGGGGGCCCTGGGATGGATTTCCCAGAGGATGCCCCATCCCTGGAAGTGTCCAAAGCCGGGTTGGGACAGGGGAAGGTGTCCCTGCCCACGGCAGGGGGTGGGATGGGATGAACTTTCCCACCCAAACCCATTCTGTGACCGTGAGATCCTCGAAGGCAGACGGAATTCCTCCCGGGTGGGAGCTGCTCCGTCCCTTCCATCCCCCTCCCCTCCCTCCGACCACCCCGCAGGCTCCTCAATCCCACGTTTTTCCCAGAGAAATTCCCCACCGGACACCAGATCCTCCCCTCCCGAGGGATCCCAGCCCCTGGAATTGTCTTTCCCCCCCTCTCCCAGCACGGCGTGGGGAGCCCGTGTGGCCGAGCCAGGGCGTGCAGGGCTGAAATCCCCCCCGTTCCCAGGAGCCCGATGAGTCAGCGCTTCCCTCTCCCCCCTCGGGCTCCTTTTGCACCAGAAACTCGGCTTTTTTTGGCCAAAGAACGCGGCGGCTGCGTGTTATTAACAACAGTAATAATCCCCCGGCTCCTGCGGCCCGGCGAGAGGGAATTCATCGCTCCCCGTGCCCGCTCCCCGGGGTGGAGGTGATGCGGTTGCCGCTCACCTGGAAGGAATTTCCCAGGTAATTACAGGAGGCAGGACCGGCAGCGCCAGGAGCTGCAGCGGCAGGTTCGGGGGCCGGCCCGGTGGGAAGGGGGGTCCCCACCCCGGGCCGTGTTGGGCAAACAAAGAGGGTTTCCAGGCGACTCCCGAGGGAGTGTCTCCGTGGGGCTCCGGGCACGGCGGGGATTCGCTGCTCCGGAGCGGGAATTCGCTCCTTTTCCTCCTCCGGGGGGTGGTCCCGGAGCGGGAATTCGCTCCTTTTCCTCCTCCGGGGGGGGTCCCGGAGCGGGAATTCGCTCCTTTTCCTCCTCCGGGGGTGGTCCCGGGGCT